TGTGAGACAGGATAACCGGATTCACTAAGGAAAGACCCCTTTCACCTTGAACCTCAGCAGTTTATTGAACCCAGACCCCCTGCAGTTACTTACAACAGCATGCTACCGGATAGTGGTTCTCACCGCCAACTACAAAATCACAGCCCATGTACAGACATTTTTATAACCCTCCAGTCACATAGAAGAGGATTAGATTTCCAGATAATGTTAACATAATAGCATCTTGATGTCTTCATACACAAAACAATACTCTAAACCAATCAGAAATGCCCATGACAATAGAACAGAAATTTTCCCCGAACAAGCCTTATTGACAGGTCAATTCAATGAATTCCTAACAGTTTGGATCAGCTTCTGTGTCTGCTTAAACATGCAAATGTGTTTGATTAAGGAACCATTAAAAAAACCTGGTTTGACAACTGCACTGTGCAGGCACTTGCGTCTGTTGAGCTAGATCATGGGTCCTCAAACTACGGCCTGGGGCCCGGATCTGGCCCGCCATGCCCACTTGGACCCACCATGAGCACCACCGTCCACCTCCCCACACTTGCGGGGAGACAGCAGTTTGCTCACTCGGAGAAAACAATCTCCAAGTGAGCAAGCCGCTGCCTCGTGCGCCCACCTCGCAACACATCCCTTCCTCGCCACACGCCCCACCCCTGCCTCAGTGCAAGCACCCGAACGCACCACCCTTGCATCAACCCACGCGCACCACCAGCACCACCTTTCCGGCCCGTGCCCAACACCAGTACCTTTCAACTGGCCCCCTGGTGAAAAAGTTTGAAGACCCCTGAGCTAGATGATGAAATGGGTCCATTCAGAACCAAATGGACATCTTTGTTTTCACTCTCTGCAGCTGATGGGAACACAGGTATTTTCCCCACTGTTAGTGTTAGCCTACAGCAGCTTCTCAGTCCAACTAAGAAATCCATCTTCTTAAAGTAACAGCAATGCTAAACAGTAGACTGGCTTGGAATTCTGCTGCTTTCTGAGAAAGAGGCATAGGTTTCATTTTATAACACAAAGGCAACTTTTTTCTACCAGGATTTATCTGAATTTTCCCAACAAAATAAAGTGCTTTGTACATTAACAGCAACAGCCATATGAAAAAATATATAAGCATATAAATGCCTCTGTGTTTGTTGTAACAGTGTCTTGCTGGTTGCTGCCAGACAATGCTACTTGAGTTATGTCTGTAGAATGACCACCCCAACAAATCACAAACAACTGCCATACTTCCCATTGCACAAGTTTTGAATCTTAATTTCACTGATCTTGTTGGACCATATAGATTACCTGTAGTTAGATATTTCCCTATTTCAATGGGAGATTTCTAGGTGCTTTGATTCAGAATGGCAATCACACACAAATATGTGTGTGCCCCTAAAGTAAAAGAGTATCAGCAAGGGTGGACAACAGGTGGCCAACCACATGTTTTGGCCTACAATTCTCATTGTTCCTCCACATTTGCTATGCTGGTTAAGGCTCATGGGTTTGTAGGCCAAGTATGTGAAGGGCCACAAGTTGCCCCATCCCTGCTCCACCGGTGTCATATTTCCACTGGATATTTGAGAAGAGATGAAAGCTGTGTGCTAATTTTAATACATTCCTATCTTCACCAAATATATTGGTCACCAACATGGCAGACATCTTGGGATCATGGAGCCGATGCAGAATTCAAGCTTCCATTCAACAGAGCGTTTATTGATTTTATACAAAAAGCAAATACAACAGAGAAAATTAATAAGAACCATTTTATTGGGATGCTCTTAAGTTGGGGGCTGAGGATCTTTGAGCCTGGGAGTCAAATCCAGCCCTTCCAATCGGGACCTGCAGGGTTTCTCAGAGGGTCGCACCTCTTTCCCCAACCACCCATTGTTTGGTGGTTTCTTGACATTTGTGCAGTTTCCTGAAATTTTTCATAGCTCTTTCCTAAGGCTTTAAGCTACAAAATTCTGATATTTCACCCCCACCCCTTTTGCCATTTGCCCTGCCCTCCTTCCTTCAGCTCAGCCACTGAGATGTGCCACTCCCCAGTCTCTCCAAAACTAAAGGAGACCCTCAGGCTAAAAGTGGTTCTTTGCTTTAAGTTGATATGTTTGACCATAGGCTACTTTTTCTCTGTCTAATGAGTCTCACTTCTGAATGTGGAACATGTTCCTCGGAAAAAGCACTTAGACCTTGATTTCTTTGGAGATGTTTTGTGGAGCAGAGTACGCAAGTCACAATAGTGTACGATAATAAAGTAGTGGCTCACTTCATTCATGAACAAACTACTACATTAAGGAAATGCTGTGGGAAAATTTGTGAACTTTTGCCAGCAATAAAACAGTTTTGCATGATCTGGGATTTAAAAGCTTCCCTTTTCTATTTCTAATCTCTCAAGCTAAGCATGACTCTTCCTAGACTGGTAATTGCTTTTCTTTTTCCCATTGGAATCTACATCCTGTGTTGTCCCTGCTTCCCAAGAATTTGAAAACGATGTATTAAAACCAGACAGGAGAAGCATGTAGTGTGTGTGTGTGTGTGTGTGTGTGTGTGTGTGTGTTACTTGTAAAATCAGTGAATACACTGTGGCACATCATAAAACTTCACAGTGTGGAATTTATGAAAAACAAATGACCACCTTTTCTTAGTTAGCTAGGTTGGGTACATGTATTTGCTAGGTTTTGTGTATATTAGAGATGCAGGAGTAGTTTAATGCCACAATCCTATATAGGTCTACTCAGAAACAAAAGCAAGTTATAGTAAATCAGTAAGGGCTGACAGTGACAAATATACAACAACTGGCTTGCTTGATGTTCTGAGACAAAACCTTTGCTGAGATGTGATTTACATGTTCTTAACAGTTTTTAGTACAATTGTGTCCAGATAAAGATAAGTGGCCAACTTAATCCTCAAAGCATTTTGATTTTGGTGTATGCTGTTTTGAATTAAAAAGAGGAAGTTACTGGCATAATAATTAATGAGAAAAGTTTTACTCATACTACAGTTGGGAAACTGGAAATAGAAACATTCTCATCTTAATGATAGCAAGGGACAGACTAGAGAATAACGAGGAACAGTTAATGGAAACTTTTATAAATGCCAGAGGACATCTGGTTTAGTAGCAGAAAAAGCAGTGAAGGGACCTAGGACATCTGAAAGAAGAGCATATAGGCAGAACCCACTTGATCCAGATTATGAAGTGGTTGGCCCCATAGGTAGACAGATTGTCTTTGTACGTATGTGGGGCAGCATGGCGCCTGTTTGTCTTACCAAGTAATTGCAAAAGCTACCTTTTCCCTCACTTACAATGTCATGAATATAATGCAAGTATGCTTGCTGTCTTTCAGTTAGTTTAAAGCTGTAAGTTAGAAACTTGTCAAATTGATCCCACTGATTTCATGCCTGTTTCTGATAAAGCCCATTGCTTGTACGATGATTTTTATGTTTATATGGTCTCAGGAGAGTTAAAATGAGACTAACTGTTCATACTTTTCAACATTTTTTTAAAAGTGGAGAGTGTGTGGTATTCATAATTTTTATTTCTGGGCACTAGTCAAAAGATTTTAACAAAAGTTGTTCTAAAACTGGAATGAAGCTCTCCTGTTTAGGAATGTAAGATTCCCCCTCCGTGAAATGCTAGCACAGTTAGCTGAGTTAAGCAAAAGTCATGTACAATCGAGTATGTTTTTCATAAATGTGATGCTTTCATGAGATTATATTCTGAAGGATGTACATATAGGTTATTTCCTTAACTTCCTTTCTTCCTGTTATTCCAAAGTAAAAGGAACTAGCAAAAACATTTTTTAAAATTCTCATTTCCTGAAAGTGATACTAGTGGTGTATTTTGCCACAGCAGAAAGTGTTTCCCACTTTGTTGAAGGGGTCTGTTCCCATGTTATGATTTGTTATGGAAATGGGATTTTGCACCAAACATGTTACATTGGGTACTTTTGCAATTTGAAAATGATTTACATGATTTACATGCATAGATTCCATCCCTAATTTAATAATTACATTTGTCCCACCCCTACCCCTGCTACAGCCCCTGCATTCTTCGTTGTACTTTGTGGTTCCTGGTTTTCCTATTCACCCTATCCTTTCCTTTGCAAAAGCTGAATGCTGAACTCACTCATTTTACTAGATGCCAACCAGGAAATTAAACTTTCCACTTTGACAACTGAAGCATGCAGGAAAATTGACCAGGCTGGACTAGGCTGCAAAAAAAAACAGCAAATTTAAAGAATAATAAACACATTTGCATAATTTACTGGGACTGAGAGTGCCATGTCCAAAGTATGCTCATGCACTGGTGGAGGAGCTGGCAGAGGCAAGAGTGAAACTGAAGAGAGGCAGGGGGATTTGGTGCTGTTGCTGAGCAGCTCACTAGATGATTCCTGCAGCCCGCTATGAAGTTGTGCTGTCAGGTATGGTTGACATAACTCATCATGGATCCAATAACACTCAGAATAAACCATGGATTGTAGGATGACATGTTGCCCAAAACACAGCCACCCACCAAAAGCAGCCTGATTTGGATGACATAAGTAACCATAACTAGCTACTCATGGTGGATAACTAGTAATGGTGGTTTGCTGTGCTGTGCATGGTATATTTAACCAGGTTGTTTACATAGTACATAAAATATGTTTAAATATTATATCAATTGGGGTTTTGAAAATGTTAAATTGTGCCTGTAATGTATATTTAATACACACAAGAACGTTCAATAATTTGATCATAGTACTGTATCTATTTGTTGTGCTGCTAATTAGGTTTAGTCAGGCATTTTTAGAAATGACAAATTTCTCATGGAAAAATGGAGTGCTGGATATTTTCCATTTCAGAATCTCTTCTCTCCCCCATAAAATGCTTTAGCTTGTAACTGGATCAGTATAGAATATTGGCCCACCAAAAATGGATTCTGTCCCATTAGTTTTCACTCAGACAGAAAAGTAGTTGAATCCTTTATTTAGAGATTGTCCAGTGAGAACCTGTTGTGTTTATTCAAGCAGAAAAGAAAAGCAGAAACAGATTAGAGAGTGCACCTCCTGCCCCTGCCAGCAAAACGTTCCCTCCCATCTTCCTTAAAGGCCTAACTGATCTCAAGGTGATGGATGGAAGCCAAGTGATTATGACAGTAGAAGTTTCAGGTAAAACCTTTATTACCTAATGGGTCATGGTCAACTCTTGAGGTTTAGCAAGCCTGTTTGGCCTCTGTAGCTGACAGTTACCCCTCTGGTTTCCAATTACTAGTCTCTTTTCTCTAACCTAGTTTTTCCTTTGTAGTTGTCTAAAATGTGGGAAGTTGGCACTTGGGAAGACTCATGCTAGCCAGGGAGAAATTTAAATAAAGAAAAATACATTTAAATTAATGTTCTTACCCACCCCAAGATTTCAAGGATGTACAGATCCTAGGCCTTCATGGTCAATGTATTCATGTGATTGGGGTTTTAATTCTACTTTTCACTGGGGCATGATCTGCCACATATGTATGTTTTAAGTCCCATGCTGTCGCATATCCAGACCCCAAAGGAAGTGCCAGATAGAAATCCACATAAACCCTTCCTCCATATATGTAGAAGCCAGCAGAGTTTACATAAAGTGCAATGGGAGGTATTTTTAGCCACAGTGGAATAAAGAACTATTTAACATAGTTATAAACAATCCGTGTCTGGAATCTTTACCCACAGCATAGCTAAGAAACTGGAATTAGGGATGTTTTCATCTGAATGTATGTGGAATTACAGGAAGGTGGGAAATTATTTGCAAAAACTCAGTTTCTGGATTGAATTGCAGAACTAAATTGTGGGACTAAAATGGCCCCAAAAATTAAAAATTTACAGTGAGACTCATTCATAGTTCTTGCTATGGTTACATGTATCCTAGTGCACCTTTTCTAGAAACATTTTCAGAAGATGAGGAAGGGGATGAGTGATGACTGATATGGTGTAGAACTCAGTTAACCCAGGATACACAACATGTGCTCCTAATGAGGAAGCACAAAAGAGCAGATGATAAGACACCAGAGGACTGTACATGACGAAAGTTCTGTGTGTGCATCTGTAGCGTGCAGACATTCCCTCAGTATAATTTATACATGGAACTGTTAAAAAAAACCCTATGGCAAAAGGAAGTCAAAGTGAGTTGCTTGTTCTTATCTCATGGCTGCAGTTGGCCTAGTAGCATAACTCACATGGCTTCTGCTGGTACTTATGGTTTATCTCAAAGCCTTGTGTTTTGTTGTGGCCCAGCTAACCCGCCTCCTGAAATAATTTGGCTGCACAATGGGAAAGAAATCCAGGAAACAGAAGATTTTCACTTTGAGAAGAAGGGCAATGAATATAGCCTGTATATCCAGGAGGTATTCCCGGAAGACACAGGAAAGTACACCTGTGAAGCTTGGAATGACTTAGGAGAAATTCAGACTGAAGCAACACTGACTGTACAAGGTAAAAATAAAATAAAAATGCATATTTTCTCCATTATTTCACATATGTTGTATATGTAGAAAAGCCTTCGCTGGTACAAGTGAGAGACTGAAAGAAAAAGTGGAGGATTTAGAGTCCTCTCACCCCAATCTAGATCATGTGCTCAACAAAATTTGGAGAGTTGCAAACCCTATAGCTTATCCTGCTGCCCAAGCAAGAATCTGCTCTGATTTCTGTGCCAGGAAAAGAATGGTGGAGTATTAAATCAGCACATATAGCTGTATAAAAAACCTTATGGTACACTTTTGCGCAAATGTGAAAACCTAGGGGTGTGATTATACGAATCATATTGGATGAGGATACTAACTGAAGCTTTGTGGAGTGTTGGGGATCACCACCTTAAGATCAAGCTACAAGTTCTATGTATCTGTATCAACTTTTTATTTTTCTCACTTCGTATGGATAGCATGACAATATGTTTGTGTAACAGTGAACAAAGTTATGTATACTTAATGGAATAATTGGAAATGTAAAATGTTTGTAGACAGGAATTCTGTGCATTATTAAAATGGGACTATTATGTTCAAAGTGGCCTAAATTAGATATTGTCATTTATTTAGATAATTACAGGCCATTAAAGAGTGCCTTTTGGACAAGCTAAACAAATGAAGAAAAAGGAACAACATGTGTATCAGGCATCTTTTCTTCCAGGCTTCATTAGAATGTCAGAAGTTGAACTCATTAGATATGGGCAAACTTCCCAAAGCTGCCTTTGGATTAACTTGGAAAGTACCAAATTCTTTCAAAAGAAAAAAAAAAAAAAGCAAGGGGAGAAGTGGCTTGCCTTTTCCATGCTCCAAAAAATTACCCTGCCTTCATTCATTCCTCCATTGATTCTTGTGGGGACAAAATAATCCCTGTAGCTCATGAATCTTCTCCTGCAGAAAGGTGCATGGGTTCTTGGGGACAACACAGCTCTCGCTCTCTCTCAAGTGAGGATTTGCTAAGTCTCTTCTAAAAACCTCTAAGCAAGTTGGGGAAGTGCACTTGTGCTTCTTCCTCTACCCTACTACATCCCTTTTCTTTAAACATCCAATTTTACTATTATAAATTAACTCAATGTTTATGTTGAATTTCAGTATGACCGATAGGATTTCATCAAGGCATAGGATTAAATAAGATGTGTTTAAAAGAAAAAAAAGCTTCCTGGAGAAGCATTTTTAGAAGGAGCCTTTAGCAGCAATCCTAAGTGAGAACACGGAACTAGTCCAAAGGGGAAGTGCGGCCAAGCCACTAAGGAGTGCAATAAGTGATTAACTGAGGCCTTCAGTGGACAGAAAGATGCAAAAAAAGGAAAACCTAAACAAATTTTACTGCAGTTATCAGAGGGGAAGAGAAGTCAAAAGTAAGGTAATTGTATGACTGCTGCCTATTGGAAATACAGCTTATGTTAAGGACCAATACAGCAGCAGATATTAAAAAGAAAACAAAGAGTGTTACATGTAAGCTTAGTTACTATTTTGCTATTGTGCTGATAATTCTGAATGCCCAAAGTAAGGATAATCACTGAAAGGATGTATAAGCAAACTCTAGGATGAAAACTGTAGGGGTTACATGGCAATGGGGCTGTATAGGAAATTGTGGGTTTTGATGACTGGGAAATTCCAGCCTATCCAGGTTATTCTCATGGTATTTACAAGTATAGTACATGCTCTAAGAAGTGCAGGCATAAGTGCATGAAGTCAAAGTTGGCTTACTGCTGGAAGCATGACTGAATGCTGAGACGCACAATTCACAGCCCCTGAGTTTACACGTAAATATGATATTCTTTACTAACCATTTACTAGAGGCAGCGTAATAATTAGATTAAGTGGCACTTAAATTCAGAGTTTGCTTAACCATCATAGAGCTTTACTTTGTAACAAAGGACAGAATCCTACACATGTTTAGACAGACAAATATCTGACACATGCTGGCTGGGGAATGCTGGGAATTGCTTGATTTTTTTTTTTCCTGTCTAGGACTTTACCTTAAAGCTCCCAACCCTTGGAAAAATTGTTCAGAAGCCTGATATCCTCATTTCCTTTAATTACCCTAGCCTTAAAAATAGTTGGCAAGCAGTACTTGATATGTGCAATAAAAAACAAGACCTTAAGGGGACAAAGAAAAGGAAATTGTTGTTGTTGTTAGCCGTGAAGTCGTGTCCGACCCATCGCGACCCCATGGACAACATTCCTCCAGGCCTTCGTGTCCTCCACCATCCCCTGGAGTCCACTTAAGCTCACACCAACTGCTTCGGTGACTCCATCTAGCCACCTCATCCTCTGCCGTCCCCTTCTTCTTTTGCCATCTATTGTTCCCAGCATTAGACTCTTCTCCAGGGAGTCCTTCCTCCTCATTAGGTGGCCAAAGTATTTGAGTTTCATCTTCACTATCTGGCCTTCTAAAGAGCAGTCAGGGTTGGTCTCCTTTAGAACTGACCGGTTTGATCGCCTTGCGGTCCAAGGGACTCGCAGGAGTCTTCTCCAGCACCACAATTCAAAGGCCTCAATCCTTCAGCGCTCAGCCTTCCTTATGGTCCAGCTTTCACAGCCTTACATTGCAACTGGGAAAACCATAGCCTTGACTATATGCACTTTTGTTGGCAGGGTGATGTCTCTGCTTTTTAGTATGCTGTCTAGAATTGCCATAGCTTTCCTCCCCAGGAGCAAGCATCTTTTAATTTCTTGGCTGCAGTTCCCGTCTGCAGTGATCTTGCAGGAAAATAAAATCTGTCACTACCTCCATTACTTCCCCGTCTATTTGTCAGGAAGTGAGAGGACCGGATGCCATGATCTTAGTTTTCTTAATGTTGAGTTTCAAGCCAAGTTTTGCACTCTCCTCCTTCACCCGCATCAAGAGGTTCTTTAGTTCCTCTTCACTTTCTGCCATGAGAGTGGTATCATCTGGATATCTGAGGTTGTTGATATTTCTCCCAGCAATCTTAATTCCAACTGGTGATTCATCTAGCCCCGCCTTTCTCATGATGTGCTCTGCATATAAGTTAAATAGGCAGGGCGACAGTATACGGCCTTGCTGAACTCCTTTCTCAATTTTGAACCAATCAGTGGTTCCGTGTCCAGTTCTCACTGTTGCTTCTTGAACCACATGTAGGTTTCTCAAGAGGCAAATAAGATGGTCTGGTACCCCCATCTCTTTAAGAACTTGCCACAATGTGTTGTGATCCACAGAATCAAAGGCTTTAGCATAGTCAATGAAGCAGAAGTAGATGTTTTTCTGGAACTCCCTAGCTTTCTCCATGATCCAGCGTACGTTGGAAATTTGATCTCTAGTTCCTCTCTCTCTTTGAAATCCTGCCTGTACTTCTGGTAGTTCTTGGTCGGAGATACTCTCAGACAAAGCCTCCACTTCCCTCTCCTTGACAGTGATTAAATGTGGACCCCCCTCCTCAATTCTGTTCATTGTATGAGCATTAAGAGCTGTAGTTCAAATCTTTGGCTGCTGGTGCTTGATGATCAGATGATTATGAATGTTGATGTTCCCTTCTTTAGTTTCTCTGGATATAAAAAAGGGAACTAGCTTTCTGAAATGAAGGTTGACTTCTTGAGGTAATTCTAAGGGGACCAAAGAAAAGAAATCCATGGGCTGCAGTGGGGCCATTGGGCTGAACAGAGCATGATTGAAGGCCAAATGCAGCCCACAGGCTGTCAGTATTTATTCATGCTTCAAGCGATAAGACAGGGTGACTGTGACTTAAGGCAGTTCTGAGAGTACCAATGATGCCCTGTCATAAACCAGTATGAGGACTAAACTGGCAGCTGGAGAATGATGTGGCCTAGTCTGTTAAATGTGTTTATATATTCATTATATTTCTAGCCCACATTTATGTTAAAGAACTCAAAGTGGATTGTATAATTCTCCTCCTCTTGTGGTCCCCCACCCTTACAATTTGTTTATCCTTTTGTGTTGCAGAACCCCAGGATGGAATTCAGCCGTGGTTCATTAGCAAACCGAGGTCAGTTACTGCAGTAGCGGGGCAGAATGTCCTCATTTCCTGTGCCATTGCTGGAGATCCTTTTCCCACAGTACACTGGTTCAAAGATGGTCAGGAAGTGACACCTGGAGGAGGCTGTGAATTCTTACAAAATGAAGACATCTTCACATTGATTATAAGAAATGTACACCTTCGTCATGCTGGCCACTATGAAATCCACCTCAGGTATCTCAAATGTTATAACAAGTATAATGCAAGAACCAAGGTCATCAGAAAACAAATTTAGCTTGAAAGCAGGCTGTTTGTCCTTTTGAAGTCTCTGTCTGCTGCTTAAATTTGGCACCAGAGGGCCAGGTTTTCTTTTGTCGCCTACAGAATTCAGTGGTATAATGATGGCATGAGTGCAGCCCATGAGGTGAGCGGTATCCAGAGGATGGAATGTTGCTCCTTAACCCCCAGAGTTGCCCACTCCAAATAGTTGTAAATGTAGATTGGGTCATCCTAAGTGTGATCATTTAATAATCATTTGCCAACTATTGATTGCTTTTACCTCTACACTGTAAGTTGGCCGTGGATTCCCAGGGCATCAGAAGTCAGGCCAAGCATCATGTGGATGTTGTATTACTAACTGAAGAAAATGTCACTGTGCTGCTTTTCCTTAGGCACCCACTGCCCTTGCCTGTCAGTGGCATTCACGTTGACTTGTCTGCTTTTGATGATTTTTAAGACTGCTTGTTATATGGGATTCTGAATTTTTAACCTCTACCCCATAAAGGAAAAGCAGGCAGACAGTGTGGGGGAGGAGGGCTGTTTAACCCTTTCTTCTCCAGTCCTTTGTCCTCATAAATCATCCATCCCAAACTGCTTTTTTGCCCATAATGGGAGAGACACTGGGATGACAGGAACACCCTTTATCTTTTCTCCCACAGGTGAAAAAAAACTTTTGAGAGGGAGATTTTGTCCTGAAAAAGAAGGGAAGGAAAAGGGATAAGCCATATGTTTCCCCCACTCCTTTTGACTCCTACTCACCATGCTTATTTGCAGTCTCTTCAGACTGAATTTGATTTTTAAAAGCTCATGGAGAAAACTCCACCCTCCATGTGTATCTTGTAATGTGAGCCTCTATTTCATGAGAATATAGGAAGCCCGAACAGCTGCTCTGCACATGATGATTAACCACACTCAAAAAAGCAGGGAGTTGCTGCTTGACAAATTAGTTGGAATGTACTGCGGATTAGGGCTTCAGTTCCATTTCTGATGTGTTCTGCTTTATGCACAATCGGAACTTAGGCCTGCAGGATATCCTTTGTTCTTGCTAGAACCTTGAAGTTCACCAATATCAAAATGGTAGCTCAGAGCACTGGGGTCAATTATTTATTGTATCCCAGCAGCCATACGATCCAAGTGGTAATCTCTGGTCCATAGTAACAGGGTGTCTTATGTTTCGGAGGACTGGGAACACCGGATTGTTTTTGCTGTTGTTAAACAACTGAGAACCATAAACTTTTGTGAATGAATTGTGAAAGACCCAACAATTACTAGGTTTACCAAGGAACTTAATAATTCCTACTATTCAGACATCTGTTTTCTGCCACCAGATTCATTGGTCTGACATGCAAATATCTCCATTCTCTTTTGCAAGAAGAACTCTTCGTTCTGCTATGAGGGCTATTTGCCCTCATATCTATTCACTTTCAACCTTTATTGAGATATTTAGATCTGTTCTTTAAAGGGTAGTCTTGAATTGTTTTTGACTGCGCGAAAAAAGCATGTTCCGATTTTTCCCTCCAGGCAAGGCTGACCAAATATAAAACCATATTCCCTGGTATGGTCTTAACAAATGTAGTTTTAGAACTTTGTACAGATAATATCATTACACGCTATTTACTGCCCTTAGATGTCTTGCCTTATTCGGTTAATAACTTTGAATCTGTTTAACCTTCATGGCTTTTTGGCCTGAGGTATATTTAAACAAAAGGTCTCACATGCTACCCTTTTAGTTTTAGTTTGGCTAGTAAGCAATTCAAAATGAAAGTTGCTTGTGCAGTCCGGTCTTGTGCATGGAACTTCAGTAAAATTTACTCTTCATTAGGTTTTATTCCCAAGTAAGTCAGCATAGGGTTGGAGCCTTAAACAGGCTTCCCCAACCAAGATTTTCCCCACATTTTCCTGATTATACATTGAGTATGGTACGTTTTGGAGCAGGGAGGGGATTACTGAGGACAATAAGGGCAATGTCATGTTTTCATTTGGAGAATTTGTTTTAGGAGAACACACCAGAATGGAGCCCTTAAGCACCAAACAAGATGAGCCAGTAGTCTTAATCTGTACTCACATGCACATCCTCCAGTATCTGGGGATACCAATTATTTCATGTTGTAAGAAGAGATACATATAGCTGATATCATTATTATAAATGCATTTGACTGACTTGACTGTGGAAATTTGTTGTAGTTTCTGTCAGAGAATCTGGTGGATTTATGAACCTCTTGTCACTGTTGCCTGTAGTATTCAAATTTTGCAAGATATTTCTCAATTTAAACATCTGTTCCTTGAGTAAATGCTCCCTGAAAACTCAGTCGCCTCATACAGGCCTTTTTTTTTTTTTTTTTTTTTTTTTTTTTGAGCAAAGACGTTAATGTGCAAGCTTTCTTCACATGAAAAAAGGACTGATTGTCCTTCAAGATTTGGGGTATTAATGAACTCTGATTGCAACAGAAAAAATATGTTTCAACCAAATGTTTAAAATTAAGTTCAATATTTTATAAAGCAAGGCCTAGAAGCTGCTGAAATAACACCATGAAATTTCTTAGCTTCCTGGGAATCCCTGGCTTCATATTCTTATAAAGTACATATTTGGCCCTTTCTGTGGAAATAATAGTTGAAAATGTGTGAGAACAGTGCATGGTAAATCCTCTCTGATCAGACCAATTAATACACTTGGAAGAACACACAAGAGAGTATAAAGCAAATCTATCAGAACATTCCTAACCAGTGCTTTAGAACAGTCTTCCCCAACCTTGTGGCTCTCAGACATGTTTGGACTGCAAAACCCAGAATTCCCAGTCAATGACCGTGCTAGATGGGAATTCTGGGAGTTGCTGTCCAAATGCCTCTGAAAACCACCAGGTTGGGGAAGCTGCTTTAGAATATCTGTTTCCCAACAACTCATCTCCCTCTGCTGAAATATTTGCCCAAGAGTCCTTTACCCCCCGCCCCCACTGAGGCTGCTCCTAGTACAACTTAAAATAAGTTTTTCTGCTCTTCTTTTTTTCTCTCAGATATAGTGCCTTTTCTATGATAAATTCTGGAGTATGTTGCCTTCTGTTGCCTACTACAACCTGTTTATGGAGGATCTAAGAGAAAATGGAGTTTTCTTTTGGAACTATTATTTATGTTTGCATTAGCATTTGTGTGGATTAGTCTTGCCTACTGCCACTGCACGGCCCAAAGGATTTGCCCCTAACAGAAAGTGGCCCTCAACCAAAAATTAAAAAGTTCCCCGTTCTTATTGTAGTCTCTCATCTGTTACATGGGTCTAGAAAACTATGCCTCAATACATGGCCAAAATGAATTAAGCTTCAGGCTTATTTCAGTTTTGCATCTCTACTTTGAGGATTCTGCTAAAGTGCAGTGATTTTTAAAGCAGGATTAATTTAAAAGATTACTTGAGGAATTTCTCATGCTACTGTTTCTACATTGAATGTTCTGCGAATATTTCCAGAGAGATAAATCTTTAAAAACTAAAACAAAAAATAAACACAAAACCCATCCAGTCCTGTTGTGTAGGGTTGGGTTTCATTTCCCCCTTCTTTAACAGTTGGCAAATGGCCAAACCATATTTTATTCCCCCACCCCTTAATGAAGAACTTAGGATGTGGTAGCAGTGCTTTTTACAATTGCCTAAAGACATGAAATCTGTGCTTCCTTTTATTTTCCTACAACGCATAGGGAGGTGAACCATCTGAAGATGTATCTGCTGTGAAGCATAACATGGCACTGGGGGTGGGTGGGAAGAGGGGAAAGTATTTTAATGACTTCTTTAATGGGAGTCATTTCCAACAGGCATCTCTGGCATTCCTCTGCAAAAGGAAGAATAAGTGCTCAACACCATATATGGTGACACTTTTATTTTTTATTTTTAATATAAACATGCAGAGGCTGAAACAATCCATGAGGATTGATTGCACAGTTTCACGTGGGAGGGAAAAAGGGCACAGGGAAGGGGGAAAGGGACTCCTGCTTTTAAGGACTTTGTGTCAGAAAAATTTAGAAGTGTGGCCTTGTGTCAACAAACTCTGGGACAATGGATGGGCAATCTGTAAGCATTGCAAAGCAGTCACTTGTGTAGAGATGTCCTCTCCTGCCCCCACCCACTCACCCATCCCAATTTTTTATTCTGAAGTAGACTAGTACTGCTTGTATGTGCTTTTTATAAAGTGTATGAACTCCACATGAGCTTTAGGGGTGGGGAGTATTGTTTCTTTCTTGCCAATGATAACCAAAGTAGCTGCCTCCTGGGATGCTAGGCTGGGAGAGGGAAATTTTAAGCAAAGTGAGAGGGTCGCTCTCTTCTGTATGCTGTTCAGTTTCCAGAAAGGAGCTGTGTTCTTTACTAATTCTGATTATGTTTTAACTTATTTCAGGAACCCAGTTGGAGAATGTAGCTGCCAGGTGTTTTTGATGCTGAGAGAAAGTTCTGTTTCCAAAGGAGAAACACATAGCGAGTGAGTACCATTCCCAGGGACTTACATGGGTGGGTTCTATTTTTTGCTCTGCTAATTCTCTTCCCTTCTAGACTTGGGTTGGCTGCAATTCAACCTAATCCCTAAATATGACCCAACAAATTGTTTTCATCATAGACTGAAGCAAACTGTACCAAGCTAGTGTGCAGCACATTTTTTTAGAGTGCCCTTATATGGTTCCTGAAGTCATCACTGATGCAATAAACTAATGGAGCATGTTCTTCTAATCAACCTTCCCTTCTATAAACATATTTTGCCCTGGCTCTGAGGTAGTTCCAGGATATTTTAAGCCAATTCTTTGTTAGTTCTCTTTCTCTTCTCCCTCCCCTTCCCCCCCCCCCACACCCAACCCTTCTCTGTTTGCAGTGGGAGGCAGACAGAACGAAGAGATGCTGATAATCATGATGCACTGACATTTAGAAGCATTGGTGGCTTCAGAAAAAATACTGGTGAATCCCAGCAAGTTGAAGAAGAGCAGAAGGACGTCCGTGGGGTGCTTAAAAGGCGAGTAGAAACCCGAGAGAGCACAGAGGAAAAGCTTAGGCAACAAGAGGCTGAGCAGATTGACTTCCGTGACATTTTGGCAAAGAAAGTCAGTACCAAAAGTTTTTCTGAGGAGGAGCTGAAGGAAATTCCAGCCGAACAAATGAACTTCCGTCCTACCCTGCAGCAGGTCAAGCCCAAGACCGTGATAGACGAAAGAAAGATACATTCTCCTCAACAGGTAGACTTCCGTTCATTGTTGACTAAGAAGGGCACTCGCAAATCTACCTTGACAGAGAAGGCACCAGAACCAGCAACCCCAGATTTTAGATCTGTACTTTCTGGGAAGAAAAAAGTACTGACTGAAAATGGTGGCCCTGGTGCCCAAGCCCCGAATGCCAGTGCCAGCTCCGAAGCACAGAAACCCAGCAGTATCTCTAAAGTGTCAGATGCCAACACCAGCTCCAAGAACCCACCAGCATCCAAGGCACTGGACACCACTAATTCTGGCTCTAAACTTCCAGACACAAACACTGTTTCAGAACCCAAAGGTGCCAGCTCCAAAGCTAAAATTCTGAATGTTAGTGCTAACTCTGAAGCCCAGGTTCCTAGCACCAACTCTGAAATGCCACACAGCAAGCCAGCGGAGAAAGAGAATAAGAATGACATCAATTGCAAAGGTGGTTGTCCACCAGTGGTGGATGGGCAGATAATCAAAGAGAAGATAAAGGATAACAAAACAGAATCTAAGGGGACAGCACCATCCTTTACAGAAGAGCTAAAAGATACCCATGTAGTAGAAGGTGAAAAATTAGTCTTGCAGTGTCAGGTTTCCTCAGATCCACCTGCTACTGTTACCTGGACTCTGGATGGGAAGGTCATCAAATCATCAAAGTTTATTGTCCTCTCCCAAGAAGGTAAACTCATTCAAATGACAAACCTGTTATATGGCATACTGCTCTTGTAGCTGCTTTCATTTTATTCTTTTAAACTTCTTACATATATTACTATGCTGCATTTTGGTGCTACCTCACTAATTGTTTCCAGATGTGACTCATGTTGTTGCTGTGCAAGGGAACATGGATAGTCTTATTAAACAGATTTCCTGCGGATGCATTTCTAACAATTTACAGATGGTTATTTTTTCATAAAGTTGAATGTTCTTCTAGTTTAAGAATTCTAAAAAAGATATATACTTAAAACAGAGGATTTATTTAGGAGATGGTTTATCATAATAGAACCATGCTACTGTCAGTACCTACTTTCAGACATGTTTTCCACATTGAGGGAAAAATTTAGGATGGCTATTGCAGCTTTTTCAAAGAATTTGGAGGGAAAGGAAATGGCTTTGTGATGGGTTTATTTTGCTTAAATACGTTCTGTAACTCCCTCCCTGAAAAGGATCTTCTGAGGTCCAAGTTAAGCAACTTAGCTCACTATATGTTGAATGTACATGCTTTAATTAAAGTTGATCCTGCTTGAAAAATAAGTTGACAAGTTAGCTTTCAATGCACCCACAGTGTGTCAGAATTTAGGAAATGCTTTTCTGAAGACAGTGGCCTGTTTTACCAGAACAGATAGATCAGTAGTAACCTAGAAGTTGCCTAATTGTGGATTGTAAGGAAGAATGGATCTTTTATTCTTAATATTCCTAACAATTAGTCTTTTGTGAGTGTGTGTAGCTATATAGAGAGATAATGTCAAGAGATTTAACGACTCGAAATGTTTCAGGTGTCCAAGCTATGAAACATACTATGGGGAGCTTTTAAAAATTAGAATCCTCTGAGGATTCATTCGACCAGTGGCTTACTGGGGCTTAGTTCTGCAACCTGGTTTTAATACCACATTCTGCACAGGGATGTGTGAAGTTGTGGTGGATAAGAATGTGTGGTTTAAGTTTAAAATAATGAAAAGAAGGGTGGAACTGTATTTCTGAGAATGCATACAGTGTGTTTCCTTGCTGTAACCACTCCATACATATATGGATGAGAGGAATCTTGAAGAAAGATACTCTTGGTGTGGAGGTTCCTCCTTCAGTAGCCTGTGTCCTTCTGTGTTGCTGAAGGCTTCTCAGGAGAAGAATTGGTTGAATATGCAGGCAGACGGCAGCAGCTTCCCTTCCTCAACTGTGCTGCCATTGCCGCTGCTACTTCACTGTTCATCCTCTCTGTGCCAGAGGATGGATGAGCAAGCCACAGCAAAGAGAAGGCGCAAGAGCAGCAGGAGAGCCAAGGGGTTCTCAGAAGTATCAGTGGTTTATGGCTACATTTGGGAGTGCAGGTGCTCATCATGACAGTTCCCAAGAAAAGTCCAAAAATGCAAGAACAAGTTGATCTACATATTGGTGCCTTCCTGCCCATCTGTCCATCCACACACTATCTCAAGATTTTTCTGGCATTTCTTTTCCTAGTGCCTAGAACATACCAGTTCTATTTCAACCAGGAGCAGGTCTTTTGTAAAGTGAATGAATCTTAATTCTGAGAGAGACCAACCCACTCTAAAATTGTTGGGTGATTGGTTTCAGAGGGACAAACCACAACAAGTATGGTGTAGTGGTTAAGAGCACAGGACTGGGACTCAGACGATCTGGGTTCTAGTCGCCGCTCAGCCATGGAGCCAACTGGGTAACTTTGGGCCAGTCACAGACTCTCAGTCCAACCTACCTCACAGGGTTGTTGTTGTGGGGATAAGATGGAGGAGATGTAAGCTGCCTTGAGCCCTTTGCAGGAAAAAGGCAGGATATAAATCGAAAAATAAATAAATAGATAAATAAATAAACAATACATGGAAAGTATGAGAAGTCAGTAACCCCATAGCCCCCATCACAGTGGGGATGGCAGCTAAACTCATCTGGGAAATGGCAAGCCAGAGCAGGGTGTAAAATGCATTATAGTCCCTGCTAACCAGAAACTCTTGGTGCTTCGAGACTGTGAAACTGATTTGGTTATAGCAGTAATGGGCACCCAGCCAAACAGCCCCTTGAGGCCAGCCTCAGGTCAGCATGGGCTGCAATTTCCAGGTTGGAGAAGACTGGCTTGGCCCTGGACTTAACGGCTTTGCTTCTCAAGCTGCATTATATAGACTTTGATGAAACAACTGTCTTGTCTTTTTGTGAAGCAGGATAGCAAAACAAAAATAGGTATTGTTGGGCTTGTGACTCATTTGTGAGGAACAACAAGAAACAATACATTCCCATCACTGTGCGCTGCCTAAGAGAACATTGAGTAATAAACTTGTCTTTCCTCTACTTTCCTTGTATACATTGCAGTGTTGGAGGGTGACAAATAACAATGTCTTTGAGAAGTGCAGTAGTTCGTCTGGGAAATGTAACAACCAGCACATGCTTGTTCCTGTCTTACTGATTATTGTCCTCTTCAACCAAAAAGGGTTCCAGAGCAGTTTAAAAAGGTTAATAATCAGATTTAGCTACATTGTTGCTTTTCTTACAACCGTTATCAATGGAAATTGCTTTAACCACAGTATTTCATTTCCATTTTTTTAGCTGCTACCTGTTCTCACACCCAAGTTCTCATTATGGTTATAACTTATGTCTGGATTATGCCACTCCAAACTGCAGATGGGGGGATCTCATGGGATGATGTACACTTTCATACAAAAAGGCCTCCCTGTAAAGAAAACTAGGTGCCCAGTAGAAGGGTTCTACCCTGGCTCATTTATGTTCTCCAGGGATTATTTCTCTTTTCTTTTTGCATGGAGGAGATGGATTCTGTTTTGTGAGATGCTTCAGCAATGTGAAGTGGTGCTACCCAGATAGGAGTTTTACAATCTTAGTGAGAACTGGACCATAGGTCAGAGATGAGTGACTTGTGGACCTGTAGATGTTTTGGCCTACAACTCCCATCACTCCTCAACATTGGCAATGTTGACTAGAGTTGATGGGAGTTGTAGTCCAAATAATCCAAAGAGCCACAAGTAGCCCACCTGTCTCACACAGCTTTGCATTGAGATTCCCCAGCTCGCTCTGTGTGTGCATGTGCGTGTGTTTGTGTTTGTGTGTGTACACACTAAATTTCCAGGCACTCCTGAAATGATTCCCATATTGCAGTGGCTTGGTGGTGCTTCTGCTTTGAAACAAATCAATGTTTCAAGTCATTCAGTGCACAAAATGGGCTAATTGTGCATTACAATGTGCTTGGCTGTGTGGTTGAGATGTACTATGTAAGGCAGCTTTAGTTCCTGGCAAGAGAATGACATGGTCATGCTTGTTATAAATAGCTATATGTTTGTTATTATACCCTGAATTTTCCAATGTGTCATTCATAAAATAGGTAACTGTTCTAAAGCTAACATTCCATTAATTGTTTTTTTTTTTCTGAATGGCAGCACAAAGTTCCACATTTGGCAAAGTTGTTATTTCTTTAAAAATGCTCAGACTTTTAAAGTAAAATTATTTCAGGTACTCTTAAGTGTACAGCTTCCCCCTTTGAAAAACACCATCTATATTTTATTTTTAAATAAACACTAGATTTGGCTGCTAGCATATGGATCAAGGGAATCCTCATGAAAGATACTCTCAGTGTGAGTCCCTGCTTTTGATTATGCAACCATAAGAGCAGCTTATGAAGAGTTACAAACAATATTTTTCAGCATTTTTTATCAGATCGTGAATTCTATTTATTGAAAATATAAAGCTGATTTGTCCTATTATTATAAAGCATGTAAGTAGAATCTACTTGGTGAGGCCTGGTCACTTTGAGGGTTAGGGTTACGTTGAGATGGAGAGGGTAGGATCTTCTTCCCAAAAGAAATCTGGCCATTGCTGCAGTGATCAGGCTGTATTAGAAGAAGCAACTGTGTAGAGGAAATGGTGCTGCAGCATGAATGTGAATGCAGCCTCCCCAGACTGGTGCCAGACTGGGGTACAGTTCCCATCATCCATGACCAATATGGGCTTTCACAGGAAAAGCTCCTCATCTTGTCTACATCTCTAACCTGTGTCTGTGTTGGGGGGTGGAGGTGGGGGGTGGAAAGGAACCAAGCAGTCAGGCATGTTTGTGAGATTGGGGAATTGATCTCATTTTATTTTTGAAAGATAGCTATTCCATTTCAGCCTATTTGATTACTGAATGAGAATGAGAATTGTGGCTATTATAATTCACATTCTAAGTTATACAAAAGTTGTGAATTTTGAAATTTGCCTAATTCAATGAAAGAAATTTGTTTTCAGTGCTTTAGTCACTTCTGTGAAAACTCTTTTGTGCTGATCCTTTAGAATCTTTCCTGGGAAAAGACAGATATCAGTGTGAGTACCATATATATTCTAGCACTATAGTAGCTGCTTGTACATCTTCACTGATATCGTCCAGAAACACAAGGTCTAAAAGAGTGGACCCTTTCACATGAGTACATCTAAAAGCCCAAACTTCTAATCTTGCTATGGATTTTGTCCTAGAAGTAATGTACAAGGTTTTAATGTAGAGATGCATGAATCTTGTTAAACTCTTCTGCCTGTGTTTCACAGATTGTCAGGCACCATTTGTTCTGTCATCCTCTCATCAAGGGAATTTGACTTTTTAAAAACCAAAATGTAATTCCACTTGTTCTAGTGTATATTTGTGCAAATATGCTAATTTGTGTCAGTGCTAAATAATCTGTGAATTAGTGCTGAATGATGTACATTGCAGATCCAAGCATTTGTGCAAGTGCATTTTATTGTGAACATGTGCTTGCAACTATGTGGATTGGCACTAAGTGAATGAATGTGAATCCCCTCTCAAAGTAAAAAGGTTTCTAGTCGAATGCTTGTGAAGTGCAAAAAGCTGTGCTGGATTTATAGAAATCCACACTCATTTGCCTTTGTTGTGGATTTTTCCACCATGCCTCCTTCAAACATGTTTACTTACCTGGGAGTAAGGACTATTTTGTACAGTAGAATGTTCAATGAACACTTGCATGT